GCCAGGGCGTGGCCAGGGAGGTGAGGCGTTCAGCCTGCTGTCAGCCTAGCAGCCGCCTGAGTCACCTCTGGACAGAGCCAGGATGACACAGCTTCCTCGAACTGCAAACGCAAGGTGACCAGACGTCCTCCAAGCCAGGCAGACAGTCATGTCTTGCCGGAGGGCGGCCAGCCAGGGCCAGCCTGCAGGCTGGGTGTGGGCTGGGCTGGTGGGGTGCACCCCCACGTGGTGGGGAGTTGGGCGGGAGGTACGAGCCCTCCCGGTGCTGGGACCTGTCTTCATTTGGGTGAGGCGTCAGCTTGGGGGGCAAGCTGGCCATGTCACCCTGTGCTCGTGGGACAGTTGCCTTCTGTGTGGGCCCCACTGTGCTGCCAGCTGGGAGGGGCGCTCAGCTTTGGGTCCTCTGTGAGAAGGCCCCCAGCCCCCCAGGACAGAGGCGGTCACATCACGGTGGCTTCTGGCTTTGGGGTTTGCACCCATCAGGGTGAGTCAGACACTGCTCTGCTGCGTGAAGTGGAGATCTGCTCCAGGACGGAACCCTTTTCCTCCCTTCCTGTTTTCCTCCTGCCCTCCTTCCTCTCCCTGAATCCGACCCCCTCGGAGACCTGGGAGGGCTGGAGGGGCAGGCATGGGGAGTGGCAGCCGCCATCACTCCACACTGAACGGGAACAAGAGTTTTTTTGAACGCCCACCCTGCTGGGCACCAGATTCGGCTTTCTGTGCACATGGAGCTCATGGTGTAGGCTAGTCTAACCGAGGTAAGGGTTAGAGCCCCGTCAGACTCCAAAAGCCCCTTTTCTGTAACATCATCTAGACCTAGGGCTGTTTGGGTGGGGCCATTGTGCCCATCAGCCACCTGGCTTTACTGGTGGAACAAACGTTCCCCCCACCCCCCAAGGCCCTGAACCTGGGTCTAGCCCAGCGAGGGCCTGAGTGCACTGGGGATGGCCTGGGTCGTGAGTTGCCCCAGATGAGCTGAGTCAGTGGGTGGGCAAGCCCCAGGTGTTTGCTGGGGGACGGAGGGGCTGAGACCCTGGCCTCCAGCTCACCTGCCCCTGGAAGGGCCATCCTGCACTGTTGAACCTGGACGACCTGCCCGTTCTTTGTGGGGCCCGGAAGGGAGGGCCACCCCCGGCTCCCTAACTTGTTCCCAACTGTGCCGTCCCCAGAGGTGACTCCCATCTAGGCTGTTGGTCCATTGTTTTTTTCCTTTAGGGCAGTCTTTCCCTTGACTTTGTTTAGATGCACACCAGGATGAAGTTTCTGGCTTTGGGTTGAAAACCACCCTCGTCAGGTAGGAAAGCAGTCACCTGAAAAGTGTTCGAGGCTCTAAGTGCTAACCGAGCAGCCTTTCTTGACCAGCGGTGTCTCGAGGGCTGCGCGAGCTGAGCGTCTGTTTCTTGCTCACTCGGTGGGCGGGCATGTGCGCCTCAGAGGTTCACACCTGCCTTCGGGGGTCCCCGCCTGGCTCTGGCCGCGGAGCTGCGCAGGTGACTTTACTGGAATTCCGAACAGCCAGTGCAGAGAGCGTGCACGTGTGGCTGAGGTTCTGTTAGTTGGTGGTGAGGGGACTTGATGCCCTGAGCGTCCTCCTGTGCAGCTGCTGGAGAGCCATGTGCGGGTGCTGAGTGGGGGCCGGTATGGTGGAAGGTGAGGCCGCCTCGCGCGCGCGCGCTCCTGCCCGGCCTGTCAGGGCCTCGGTCTCTAACCCTGGCTGTGGTCCGGCCTGGGACCAGAAAGCAGTTCCTCCTGCATGCGCTCTGGTGGCCGTGAGGTTGCCTGAGGTTCAGGGGTTTATAAATACACGTTTTAGGGCAGTTGTTTTAAAATCAGTTGTCGTTGTCGTTCAAACTCGCACACGTACGAAACTTTTCTCTGAACCTGTTTCCCAAAAGCAAACTATCGGGTTTTTTGCATTTCATGTTTGAAGTGACCTCAGGTCACTGCTGCATGTATTTTGCGTAGCTTGGCATAGGGGAGTAATGGTGCAGTTTCTATCCATAAACTGAGTTCAGGAAAGACGGGCAGTGCCCAACCAGCTCCGTGCTCCTGGAGCTGGCTCCCTGGACCGGCGGCAGTCTGTGTAGTGCCCCTCGGGGCGCCCGTTCTCCAGCAGCTGGTGGAGACTTCCAAGGGTGCCTCGGTGGCAGGGGGGTGGGGTGGTGGGGGCAGGAGCCAAGACCTGGTCCGCCCGAGGCAGTGGGGTTTGTGTCTGTGAGCAGGGGTCCGTGGGACGGTGTCTGCCCTTGCCTGGGACTTGCCCACCCGTGTCTGGGTCTCTGGTTTCTCAGGGGGGCCCTGGTGTAGGCCCCAGCCCCCTGGGGGTTGAGTGGAGCCCCGAGTCAGGATCTCTCCTGGATCGGCCCAACCGAGGCTTTTGCGAGCTGGACAGAACCCTGGGACCCCTGGTTCTGATCCCCTCATTTTCAGAGGAGGAGAGTAAGATCCACAGAAAGAAGAGCTTTACTGGCTTGTTCCCCAACTTTGTTTCAAGGCGATGATCACCTCCACATGTACTCCCGTTCGCTCTTAGGCCTCATGTCCCTCTTGTTGAACAGGAGGTCCGAGAAGGGCAGGGAGTCCCCAGAGGTCAGACCCCAGCATGGCACCCTCCCACAAAGAGAGGCGTCCCTGCTCTCTTGGACCCCAGGTGGGCCCCAGGGCCGCTCTTCTCCTGTCTCTGCGAGGCTCTCCTCTGCGTCCTGTGCCCAGAAGGCAAAGGGGGTGCAGAGCTGGTGGATATGGGGCTTTGCCCAGGTGACCTTGACCTTTTAGATGCAGCCAGCGGACCCTCATGGGGCCTGTGTGGAGGGGAGGGGCCGAGCCCTTGGAGTGCTGTGGCCCAGTCCTGTGCCCATCCTGGTTACCTGGACAACCCACCACGCACTGTCACGGAGGGCAGGTCCCCAGAGGAGGTGTACCTGCCTGCCCTGAGCGCAGCCCTGTGGCCCTGGGTGCTGGCTGAGCTGGCCCGGCACCATGGGGGAGGCACAGAAAGCCCTGCTGGTCGGGGTCTGAACGGAGCTCCCTCCTTTGCTGGGGCCTCACTTTTCTCATCAGGCGGGCTGGGCGGTCCGCGCAGGGTGGGAGGGCCTTAGGTCTGTGGGAATGTGAGCTCCTTGCTCTGTAAACAGCTGTGACTCACCGCACAACTATGCCCTGGCGGCTCCAGGCCCTTGTGCGCTGACGTGTGCTGGAATGACACCCGGCCGTGGAAAAGTTTCTCAGGGCTCTCCCAGCTGCCTGGCTCCTGCTGGCCCTCCAGGTGGTTTCTCTAGCACGGTGTGACCCCCGCACCTGGAGGGAGGGGCACTGATTGTGCGCCCCCTGCCCCCCACAGATGCTGGGGGTCAGGCTGCCGTCAGGAAGCAGCTCCTGGTCCCTGCCGTGACCACCCCCTGCTGCTGCGTTGTCTGCGTGTCTATCTTGGGCACATGCGTGGGGGTGCAGAGGAGCCCGGAGCCCCCTGAGGATTTGCCTGGCCCCGGCCCTGCTGCTGTCCTGCTTGCCATCATCCAGCATCGGCTCCCGGGAGTGTTGCCAGGGGTGACTGGGGGTCCAGCGGCCTGGGTGCTGAGACCCTCTGGTAGCGGAAGGCAGGCAAGCTGCTGGAGGCAGGAGCAGTGGGGACGGGTTAGGGTCCCGGGGCTGTGGGTGAAGGAAGGCAGGGTGGAGACACCCACCCGAGTCCCGCTCACCCTCGAGATGGAGGCTGGGGTGAGGCTCCCTCTCTGGGACCCGCACCCCCCCCCGCCCCCCGCCGTGCGTTTCTCCGATGTTCTCTCTGCTCAGTTCACCGTGCCTGGCATTTGGAACGTGGACCCTGGTCCCTAACCCAGTGACAGAGCGTGGCGGCAAGCCTAGAGCCGCGGGGTTACACGGGTTTGTTTACTGTCCCGCAACCTGTGTCTGCACCAGCCTGCCCGAAGCCATTGTTGCTGTGGGCTTCTCCGTTGCCATGGCGACCACCAGGGGCTGGCTACTTCCCAAGGTCGCCATGGCAACTATCAGAGGGGAATCATGCTTGGGATGCTTTGGCTGGCTTTTTCATGAATGATTAGAATGTGTGACACAATGCAGACGCGAAAACTCGAAGGGCGGGCAGCGGCGGGGCTGGCGGGCGCCGGGGACAACTCCCGCCAGACGGCCGCCCGATGAGCTCGTGCAGCTGCGGCTCCCCACCTCCTGGATCCTGCCCTGGCCGCGGGGAGACCCCGCCCACCCCGAGGGCCTCAGGTCATGGCTGTGGGGCAGCCCAGGTGGGGGTGGTGATGTCACAGCTGCAGTGCCCTTTGCAGAGGTAGGTCTGCTAGGGAGGGCGGGGCTGGGCCAGGGCGGGTGCTGGCTCCACCCATCCCCCCCGGAGGCATGCTCCCCCAGGGGCCCTTCCTCTCTGGAGCCAGGCTAGGTCATGGGTACCAGGGGCTCTTGCCCGGGCAGGGTGCCATCCTGGGGGCCAGCGGTGCCCTTCAGGTGCTGGGTGTGGCCGATCTCGGGAGGGGGCTTTGCTGCTGCGTGCTTTGGCCCTTGAACGTGGCAGCCTGGGCCTCGCGGGTGCAAGCTTCTCAGATCGGAGGGAGAGTGAGAACAGGAAGCAACAGCTGCTCACGCCCGGGGGCCCCCCCAGGCGCTGGCGGCACAGGCCTGGTGGGTGGGGCGGCACGGGACCGCTGTGTGGCTGCCAGGCACTGGGCCAAGGTGGGTCCGGGTTGCTCCGTGGTCTGATGCTGGAGTGGGGGGTGTGGCCAGCATGCCCACCCTGCGGGAAGCCCCTCAGGACTGGCTGGCTCCCATCTTGCTTTCGGGGTGACAGGGAACAAGGAGCTGAACCTCCTTGGAGCCTCTCTGCAGTGGGGATGTCCCTGCTTTAGGTCACTTGTGACGGCAGCAGGCCCTGTCTCCAGCCTGGCCAGAACCTAACCTTGCTCATTTCTGTGTTCTTGTGTGATTTTCTAGTTCCAATTTCCAAGCCCTTCTGTTCGGGTGACTGTGCCCAGGTTATGACGACTAATCCCAAACCAAACAAGGCGTTAAAGGTAAGCGGGGGTGGGGGTGAGCAGATCCTGTTTCTGTCTCGGGCTCAGGCCTGGGAAAGGTCCCTTCTGGCCCCAGCAGCGCCTCTTTCCCAGGATTGCCCTGAGTGTGAGGAAAGAAGCCCTGTCCTCTGGAAGAGAGCGGGGGGCTGTTGGCTAGAGGACGTGTCACAGAGAGGTGGTGACAGAATTGGGGGTCGTGGCTTTGGGAGACACCAGCTCTGACATCTGTGGGGATCCCTCCTTGTGAGAGAGTGGTAGGGGTGGATCCCTGTCGGCTAGGATGTGCTCATCACCCCGGCCCCCAGGGGTGAGCAGTGTATCCTCTGTCCCGTGGAACCTGGCTCCCAGGGCCTGGCCGTCCACAGTGTGTGCTGCCTCCGCGGGCCTTCCCAGCTTCTGAGGCCGGCAGCGTGTGCTTGGGTTGGCTGTGTCATCCTGGGAGTGGAGCTGGGTGTGCAAGAGAGGGAACTCTCCATGCATTTCTGGGCCGAGCACGCCCAAGCCACAGCTGAGGTCCCGCTAGGTCCAGGGATGCAGAAGGATGGGCTGCCGTGCCGTCCCGTCCCCCGCCTGCGTGTGTCCGCCCTGCCCCAGGCCCTGGAGGTGCACAGAGGGTAGCACACACGTGGACCCTGGCCTTGCAGAATGTGGGCGGCCAGTGGGATCCTGGTGATGGCCGGGTGTAGCCAGGGGCCCCCACCCGAGAGCCCTCTGCATGATGCTGTGTGCCTGGCGTCAGGTGACCCCGCAGGGACTGTCCCTGCTCCGTGATGCGCAGCAGAGGGGGTGCGGCCTGGAACAGGCTCTTGTGCACGCGGGGCTTGGGCCGTGCTCTGGGGGCGCACCGTGGCCGGTCCCGCCCGCCGCGCCCCACGTCCCTGTGCTGACCGCTGTGCCGTGGCCCCCGCAGGTCAAGAAGGAGGCGGGCGAGAACGCCCCGGTGCTCAGCGATGACGAGCTGGTGTCCATGTCGGTGCGGGAGCTGAACCAGCACCTGCGGGGCCTCACCAAGGAGGAGGTGGTCCGCCTGAAGCAGCGGCGGCGCACGCTCAAGAACCGCGGCTACGCCGCCAGCTGCCGCATCAAGCGGGTGACGCAGAAGGAGGAGCTGGAGCGGCAGCGCGTGGAGCTGCAGCAGGAGGTGGAGAAGCTCGCCTCGGAGAACGCGAGCATGAGGCTGGAGCTCGACGCGCTGCGCTCCAAGTACGAGGCCCTGCAGACCTTCGCCCGCACTGTGGCCCGCGGGCCCGTCACCCCCACCAAGGTGGCCACGACCAGTGTCATCACCATCGTCAAGTCCGCCGACATCTCCTCCACCTCCGTGCCCTTTTCGGCCGCGTCCTAGTGGCCGGCCGAGGGTGGGGCCTGGGGGGCCGCAGCCGGGCGGGCAGTGGGCTCCCCCCTCGTGCCCGTCAGACGAGCCCACGGGGAGCAGACCCCTTGACACCTGAGTCAAGCACAGACTCGTGGCGGGGACGGGGGTGCTGGCCGAAGATGGGGTCTTGTGAGACCGTGTGCTGCACGCCTTCCCACACGCACGCACACGCAAACACGCACACGTATGCACCTGGCCTTCCTCTGGGCCCCACTGGCTCTCTCCGGACCGTCCTTTTCTAGGGGTGTGTGTCTTGCGCCAGGGGGTGTCGGGATGTACAGAGGGAAGGTCCTCGGGAGGTTCCTGGCCCTGTGGCCCAGACGGTGGGGGCTCTGTCTTCCACCCCTCCCGAGAGTGGCCCGCTGTGGTCCACCAGCTGGTGCGGGAACCCCCTCGCTGCCCTGAGCTCTGGAGCCGCAGGGCGAACCATGTGCCCCTGGTGATGAAAAGCACCATGACCCTGCTTTTAGCCTTCCCAGAGACCTGCACCCTGCGAGGCAGAGGGAGGGAGGGAGGGCCACCCAAGGGGCTATGTGTACGTGCACGCGTGCCCTGGGACGTGCCTGCCATCGCACCGGGGCCTTGGGGGAACGGCTCGGAATGGCCGGTCACTGGGGGGGCCTCCGGGGTCCATGCGGCAGACAGTTGCATGGGGGTTGGGAGCTTTGCCTCCTTCGGACCTGCCGAGGAGCGGTAGCTGCTGGGCAGGGAGGGGGGCAGCCAGCCGGGGAAGGTGGAGCCCTGCTCAGGGAGGGGGGCAGGGCCTGGGGTTGGGCGTGCAGAGGTTCTGTGTGGAACGGGGGTGAGGTTGGCAGGGGCCTCAGGAGTGGGCTCTGGTTCTGCTGGAGGGGACGGGTGGGGTCTGAGGGTGAGGAGGGTGTGGTGACGAGGTGACATGGCAGGGGCCTGGGACCCGCCTCCTGGGGGGCACCTGGGTGGTCTCTTGGTGCAGAGGACAAGGGGACGCAGCTACCTTGGTGCTTATTCCTCGCCTGGAAACTTTACTAGCTCTTTCTGGCACCTGGAGCCCCTGATGACCTTGGTGACCCTTGCTGGGCTTCCCTCCCCTGCGAGCCTCGATCAATCGGGGCTTCCCGGCTCCCGTGTGCCGAGCTTGGACTGCCCCTTCCTGGCCCTGCTGGAGAGAGGCTGGGGCCGCAGGGTCTGGGGGTGGTCGTTGAGCTCAAGCTCCCAGCCTCCTCATGGCCCTGCCACCCACCACCTAGGGAGACCCCCAACCCCAGCAAGCCACAGGCCGCCCACACAGAAGAGGAGGATTGGGCAGGGCAGATGGCCCCAAGGGCTGCGTCCTCCTCCTGCATCTGCTGTCAGGAGCAGCCGGGAAAGGTCTGGGGCCCCCGCAGCATTGTCGTGCGGCCTTCGCCTTGGCCTTGTCCTGGGGTAAGGTGAAGGGTCCGGGGTGTGCTGGATCCTTATGGAGAAGAAGGCCCAGTGTGTTTAAAAAAAAAAAAAAAAAAAACTGTCGATACCATAGCCATGGTAGGTAATCCACATTGGATATCAATAAGGACCATGGGGAAATATTTAAAAGAGAGAAAGTATATATATATATAAAATTATATACACATTTTATCGTACAGATTTTTCGTAACTTTTCCTGTTTTTACTGTAAATTCCTAATAGAGCAGAGCTGCAGTTGGAGTAGGGTGGGGGTGGGAGCCAGTCGCCCCCGCCCCCGGCTCTGGGGAGGGAGGCCTGGGCTGCCCACCCGCCGCTTCCCTCTGCGTTCCCGCCAGCCCTCGGGAGCACCGAGGCCCCGCTTGGGGGGGACCCGGGGCCAGGGAAGGAAGGCCAGAGCCTTCCCCGAGTGCTTTTCCTTTCAGCTCACTGAGATTCCATTGTCACAGGTTTAATATATGGATTTTTTTTATTTAAGAGAAAAGGCAAGGACTTCTGTCCCTGGGGTTTGCTCCCCTGCCTCCGGGGCTTCAGACGCAGGTCCTTCCTGGGGACGGGGCCTCCTGCTTCCTCGCCTCCGTCGCTCGGCTGCTCCAGTTCCATATTTATTTTTGTGCTGCTTTTATCATGGTATAAATTATTGAGGAGATCCCACGTCGTGGTCCCCGCGCCCGCGCCCCCTCACGGCCACCACCTAATTTATTGCTGTACATCTCCGCTGTGTGCTTTTGTACCTTTGCAATAAAGAGTTTTCTGGTTTCAGATCCGCCTGGTTTTGTGATTGGGGCTGGGGGTCAAGTCCCCGAGCGCAGGGCGCCGTTGGACGGCCGCCGCCCCACGTCCCAGCCCTCCAACACAGCCGTCCTCGCCTGCAGTGGGTCTCCTAGGTTGGGAGGCCCGTCGGGACAGCCACGGGCTGGGGAGGGGGGCGGCGGGTGGAGGCGGCCGGGTTGGCTTTCTCAGTGGTGGGGGGGCCCAACGCCCCGGTGTCCCATCCGTGCTGACCGGGAGCCCCCAGCCTTCAGACACAGCCTGTTCCTCTCCAGCTCAGACGGCTCCCCCCGACCCCCTGGGTGGTGTGTGCCCTGGTCTCGGGCCAGACCCTGCAGCAGGTGGGGAGAGGGACGCTCGGCCGGGGCTGGAGAGCAAGGTGCCTAAAGGAAGCGGGCTCTCCCGGAAGCCAGAGCTGAGGGCCTGTGCGCTCCTCACGGGCCTTCCCCACCCCCATCCCTCCGAGGGGCAGACGTGTCAGCACTTGGCCTCAGCCTCTGAAGGACGGCCGGCTTGCAGGCGAGATCTCGGGGTTTCCAAGACCTGCCAGCCCTCCTGCCTCACCTCTGCCTGAGCTGACGGGACGGCTCCTGCCCTCGCTGTCACTGAGGGGGGGGGCGTCCCCACCAGCCACTCGGGGTTCGCCTCTGGGGAGGCCTGTTCCCTCCCCTTCCAATCCACCAGCTCCCTTCTGTGAAATCGGCAGAGAGCAGAGTGTGCCAGCACCGTGGGGTCGCTGTGGCCCCCAGCTAAGCCAGACCTCCCCGAAGCCAGGCCCACTTCCCCTGCGAGAGCCCCGCATGGCGGCCCGGCGACGACCTGGCAGCAAGCCTGCGGGTGTGAGCTGGGAAGTCATCGAGGGTTACCCCTGTGCCCCGGCCTGGCCCTCCAGCTCTCTTGGCACCGCCTGCTTTGGATTGCTGGGGCCATTTCCCAGATGAGAGCGCCGAGGCCAGGACAGGTTAGAGAAGCTGGCCGCTCCTGGCCCCATGCGGTGGGGCCCGGAGCTGGGAGCCCATGATGTCATCACAGATGGCAATATGTGCCTCCCTCCCCCCCTCGAGAGCACCCATGCTCCCCCCAGGAGGGCGAGGCCAGCAAGGCGGGGCGGGCAGCTGTGACCTCCCTGTGGGTGGCAGGGATGCGGCATTACTCTGCGGTGTCAGAAGCAGAAGCCGGGCCTTGTCCACGGCAGAGATGTCTGCGGGGGCCGGAGAGTGCGAGAGTTGGCTTTTGTGGGCCGGTCCATCTCTTGCTGGCTCTGTGACTTCGGGCAAGTGGCTCACCCTCTCTGGGCCTTGGGCCCCATTCCCGAGGCTGTCATGAGGATTCAGTGTGCACCAGGGTCCTGGCCCCAGCCTCATACACACTGGACACAGCACACCAGCTGACAAGGCCCTCCCCGGGCAGGGGCCTGGAGGCTAGCACCGCCCTGTCGCTCACATGGGGGCTGGCACTGGGCCCTCCTGCATCCTCCAGACAACTTCCCACCATGGTCGCTCCCAAACCTGCTGACTGAGACCTGCAGGGCCAGAGCTGGGCCCACCGTGGTCCACCGGCTGCGGAGGGTGTGATAAGGCAGGCGGGGGACTCTCCATGTGGGCCGCAGGGAGGTGGCATGCCTTATCTCACTGGGCAGCCAGCCGGCCCTCCAAGAAGCTGCGGCCTTGATCCTGGGTCTCCATGGGGTGACCCCGCTCTGGCCAGGACACTGCTGGTCAGTTCCTGTCCTGCCGAGTCTCTCCGGACCCTCAGCATGGGGGCGTGGGTGGTCAGGAGGGAGGGAGGTCATCACTGGGTGGTGCCCACCAGGCTTTCCTGCCCGCTGTTCTTGCCTGGCCACCCGGCCCAGGCTCCCCACACCCTTGGGCTCTTGGGCACACAGGCCCTGCCCTCAGGCCCTCCAGGAGGCCTCCCCACTCTGCTGGGCTGCTTCCGGCCTCTCTGGCGGGCTCCTCGCAGCTTCTGGAGGGCAGGGCATGTGTCTCCCTGGGCACCGGCCTGGCACTTTCTCTAGGAGAGAGAAAGACGGGGGAGGGCGGGCTCCAGCTGCGAGCCCCATGTGCGCCCCGCACTCTCTCTGGGCCTGCGTCCATCCATGGCCTTCATGGACCCACTGCAGGTGGGGCTGGCCAGAGGCCCATCAATGGAGGAAACTGAGCTCCTAAGGGAAGGGGAGTGCCCTGGGTCTCCCGGGGACACGGGGAGCGCTCTGGGTCTCATGCGGACACAGGCCAGGGCACCCGGTCTACCTGTGAGCTCTGTGCCCTGCTCTGCTCTGAGCAATGATCTGGACCCTTCCCTCAACAGCAGACTTAGCACAGTGGGGCTTGTCTGACCACCCCACTACAGTCTGCTCATCCGGGGACTGACCTGCGGGAACAGAGACCACTGGAGTCACTAGAAAACCCAGGTGTTTATGTATAAATAAGTGTGATTCGTCCGTAAGCTCCACGTGCTCTGCGGGCTGCTCAAGGCGAAGGTTCTGTGCAGGTGGCCCCGGGCACCTCCCGGACCCTCGTCAGGCACATCGGGGTGGGGGCTTTTCAGAAATCTCCATGGCTGGGGGCTGCGCAGGGGCTTGGCAAGGCCCAGCTGAGTCCCCCGCCACGGCCACCTGTCCGTGCCTGCGGAACTCCCGTGTTCTCAGGGCGGGCTGTCTCGCTCTCCCCAGGCCGTCCTTCCCTGCAGGGGCCCAGCCTGGAAACTGTCCATCCAGCAGGGCCCTGCTGGTGCCTGCCTCACAGCAGCCCCCTGAGTGGACGGCCAGGGGAGCCCAGCGGGTCCCAGGCTCCTCAGATAAGCTCAGACGTCCCCTTCCAGGGTCACGAGCCTGCCGGTGGGAGGCAGGCTGGGAGGTGGCCCCACAGGCCTGGCAGGAGGGCTCCCAGAAGGGGCTTCACTGTGGGTGAGGGGCCCTGTGCTTGCCCAGAGGCCCGGGCAGCCTGGTCTCAGCCAGGTGGCTGGTGACCCGTGGCCCTCCTACAGCTCCTCCAAGGGGATCAGCATCCGCTTTTCCACGTTCCGACTCTTCCTGACCCCACTGGAGCCTCCTGCCACACTGGGGTGGGGGCTGGGGCTCGGGGCCTCGTGTGTGGCCTGCTGGGTGTAGTGCTGGTAGGCCGGTGAGAAGTTGTGGACCGCGTCCTGCACAATGTCCTGTGGGCTCATGGTCTCCTTCAGGCCACTGGAGATACTGTGCATGGGGGCCTCGGGGGCTGGGGGCAAGTGGCATGTATGGGGGGTCAGGGTGCCCCGGACCCGTCATTTCCCCCTCAGACCCCAGCCCCGGAGACATGGCCCTGCTCCCCGCCGGTCTCCAGGCTGCCCGGGCCCTGGGCTCGGCCGGCAGGGGGTGACTTCAGGACCTTTGAATCCCAGCCCAGCTCCTCCACCCTGGGCCTGTCCCAGCCCAGCCTCCCCACGGGCCACAGAGACCGCCTTGGCCGGCTCCTGCCTTCTCTCCAGCCTGGAGTGAGCCCTTCGCACTCGTGGTTATGCCAGGCTGCTGGAGGAGGTGCAGGCCATCCCTGCCTGAATGGATCATTCCCTAGGGATGCCCGGGACCCTGGGTGTGGTGGGCAGGGCACCCCAGGCTTGGGAGGCACCAAGCCCCCCATCCCAGTGGGGGCCGTGGGGGGCCCAGACATCCAGTCCAGCCCATCTCACTCAGAACTCAGGGCCTGGGCCAGATGCAGATGTGGCACCTGTCTGGGGCGGGGGTCCTCCCAAGGGGCTGTCTCTCTGTGGGGTTGAGATGCCCTGGGCCCATGTATGGGATGGGGGCCAGAGATGTGGTGCTGAGGGTGCCCAGAGGATGCAGGGCTGGCTGCGCCCCTCCCCAGGTCCACCCTCCACATGCCCCTCCCCCATCCCCGCAGGGCCCGGCGGGCATACCTGGTGAGTTCTCCTTCTTCTCTGCATACACCTGGCAGGTGAAAGCATAGCGCAGGGCAATGGAGGCAAACAGCATCTCGATGCAGATGATGAAGTTCTGGTAGCCAGCGGCCACCGTGCCGGCCCCCACCTTGCTCCCATCGATGACCTGGACCTCAGGGATGACCCCACACTTCTCCAGGATGGCCAGCAGCATCCCTGGGGGATGGTGACAGCTGCTCAGGCACCCGCCCTACACAGGCCTCGGGAGCTGGGTGGTATCTGTAGGGAGGACAAGGCTCCGGCCCTGCACAGGCTCCTCTGGCCAGCCCTGGGACGTCCCATCCGTGTGGTCCATTCCATGGAGGGGGAGGCTGATGTTCAGGGGTGTAGGTGCCTCCAAAGCCAGGGTTGTGGCACAGTGGGCATCTGGGAGCTCCCCACGTGTCTGCCCTGACCTTCCCGATCCCAGAGCTGGGGCCTGCCCCTAGCCCCACCCCTCACTATCTGGTGGCCACCCTCCCCTGCATGGTGGGTTCTGGGAGTGCCCCCAGCCTGGCCCCGGGCCTCTGCCTGACCTCTCCACCCACAACGGGCCAGACCCGCTGGATGGGCCTCGCCATTTCCCCCCACGCCAGGGGCTGTATTGCTTCCGGCTGAGGGGGGCGGTGGCTCTGACCTGTGCTCTGGCCAGGGAAGCTGAGGCCAGGCCTGAGGGCATGTGGGGAACTGGGGGCGGAGGTGGGATGGGGACAGCCTCTAGGCTCTAGCTGCTGCCCCTACAGCCCACCCACCCTGCCAGAAAGAGAGGAAGATGACGGCCTTGATGGTGAAGAACTTGAGGACAGGCTCGAAGGGCTGCAGGAGCTCCCTGGTGGCGAAGTAGAAAAGGAACAGGGCGTAGAGGGCCAGGCTGACGGAGACGTTGTAGATGAGGGTGATGTAGAGGTAGCCGCTGTGGATGCTGGGGCCAGAGCAGGTGCCAGGGGTCAGGGTGGGCCCCACGCCCCATGTCCTCCCTGCTGTCCCGGCCTGGGCACCAGCAGTGACCCAGACCTGGACCCTCCCTGCAGGGTGGGTGGGTGGTACCTGAGCGCAACAACCAGGGAGCTGGGGGTGCCGGCGTGGGGCCCCTTGCGGGGAGTCCCGACACAGCAGTAAGGATGTAGCCCTTCCCCCTACGAAGCCCCCCCACCATTCCTCTTCCCCCGTCCACCTGGGCGCGGCCCGTTCCTTTGGGCCGGGCCTCTACATTGTGGACACCTGGGCGGGTGTGTGCCAGTGTGTGAGTGCGTACGTGATGTACGTGCACCCTGTGGATGTGTTCACACGCACGTGTCAGCACATGAGCATGTGAGCGGGTGTCTGTGTGTGCACATGTGAAAACACTCGTGTCTGCTTCTGTGCACGGGCTCGTGTGTGTGCATGTGAGAGTGTGTGTGTGTGTGTGTGTGTGTGTGGACTGCTTGTATGCATGGGCTCGTGTGAGTTCATGTATGTGAGGTGTGGGTGTGTGGGTGTGTTCATGTGGACTGCTTGTGTAAGCGTGTGTGTGTGTGTGTGCATGTGGACCTGGCACAGGGCTCCTTCCGGGGTGTGGGGGAGGCACTGCCCGACGGCTCCCTGGTCCTGAGTGCCTGAAATCCCCCGTGGCTCTCCTTGGGGTGGGCAGGCTGCAAGGTGGGGGCTGGGGGAGGAAGCCCATGGCCGCCGAGGCTGCGCAGCCCTGGCACCCCGCAGACAGGGACCTGCTCCTCTGGGTCTGTTTGCCGTGGCCTCGCCCTGGCAGTCTCCCAAGAGCGGGGGAGGCTTGTCGGGCACACGTGAGGACTCGGCCCTGTGCTGAGCCCCCTCCCTGGCCTGGGGCCCGCACCCCTCCACTGGCAGGCCGGCCCACCCCCTCCCAGCCCACACGGCAGCCAGGCCTTACTTGAAGTCCCCGTCATGGTATTTGCCGAACGCCTGCAGGACGATGGTGACCAAGGCCATGATGGGCTTCACGATGCAGAACTGCAGTGTGGCCTGGTGGGGGAGGGAAGCGTGGGGTCGTCCGGGGGGTTGGCTGGGAGGGGCAGGGCAGGGCAGGCAAACCCCTCACTTACCTGCTTGCAGAAGCGCAGGAAGCCGATGGAGTAGGACATGCCCTGCAGGCAGCAGGTGCCGTAGAGGCAGCTGGACCTGGGGTGTGCAAGTCCGTGAGGCAGGGCCCCTGGGAGGACCCGTCCCCAGCCTGCCCTGCTGCCCGGGGCACGGAGGGGCCCCCGTGGGCTCTGGGGTGAGACGCTTACCGGATGGGCTTTCCCCGAATCTCAGCCATGATGGCACTCTCGCCCCCCAGGTACTGGAAACACAGGCTCAGGAAGCTGTAGATGACAAAGGCTGCAGAGCAGAGGGCCGGGGCGGGTGGCAGTGAGCCTGGGTTCCCCGGGACCCCCCACTCCCCTGCCCTTAGCTCTGGGACCACCCGCTGTCCCTGCTGACCCCCGGCCGTCAGCAGTCCCTGTGGCAGCGAGGCCCCACCCCATCAGGGCCTGGGCAGGCCCAGCTGTAGGGCCCCCCGCCTCGGCATCCCCGATCCCGACCATCAAGTGACCCCTTCCCACAGGGCCTTGCCGAGCTGGACTTGGCCCGGGAGGGTGGGGTTGCTGAGCTGGCCATGGCCTCTCCGGGGCCCTCTCCGGATCTCGCCCGAGCCTGGAGCCAGGCAGTGCTCACCTTCATAGCAGTCACGCACCGAGTCGAAGTAGACGTAGTGCTGGTGGCCCCCCAGGAGGAGGAGGCTGAGCCAGGAGTCGAAGGCGTAGATGGGCACAATGAAGAGCAGACGGATGATGTAGCGCTGCTCATTGGGGACCGTGTAGGAGCGCAGGTGCAGGTAGATCTGGGTGGGCAGAGCAAGGGCAGGCTTGCGGGGGGATGATGGGCACACGCCACCGCTGTGCGGAGCAGGGGGCAGCATCGGAAGCAGCGCGAGCTTCCCAGGCGCGGCTGGCCCCTTCTTCCCGCATACTCTGCCGCGGCAATGCTCGCTCGCTTGCGCACTCACTCATTCATTCGGGGAGAATTTCCGCGGCGGCGGCGGGGGGGTGGGGGGCGCGTCCGTGGCCCCGGAGTTTCGCATCTCAATGTGGGCGGGCATCCAAAGGGCTGATCCCCTGGAGCCCTTTCCGGGATGTGCCACATGGAGCAGGTACATCCGGAAAGAAAGGGTCTGTGTACGAGGATGCGACACGGGACCATGCGGTGGGGTGGGCGGGTCTCGGCAGAGCAGCCCCACCAAGGGGTCTCAGCCGGCCAGTAAAAGTGGTGTCCCAAGATGCCCACGTGGGGGCCTGCTCTCAGATAACGGGGCGTGTAGGCATCAGATGACAAAGCAGGTGCGACCCCATGTGTGTTGGAAACACGTGGTGAACACGGAAGGAAAGATGGCTCTGTCCTATCCCTGGACGGCTGATTATAGTTTGTCTGTAGACCTTTCTTGATTTTCCATGACTTCTGCGGGGAGCGGGAAAAGCAGTGAGAGGATCTTGAAGAGGTAGAGGCACAGGGAGCGGGGCACACAGCACCTCTGGAAGACTTCCTGGAGGAGGTGCCGCTGAGCGCAGGTGGAAGGGCAGGCTGTGTGTGGAGCCCCGCGGGCGCCCAGCTTCGGAGGGCACAATGCAGGGAGTGGCGGGGGTGGGTTGGCGTCCGGAACAGTCCTTATCAGTCCCTCACTCCCGGCTGGTGCAGTGGGCGGGGCCTGGCATGCCCAGCCATCAGGAGACGTGGATTCTGTCCCGGGGCTCGCACTGCCTGGCTGGGTGGCCTTGGCTGCCTCCGTCCTCGCCTACCTCGCCTTCCCGTCTTGAAAGCCAGAGGCTGAGTCCCTCTCTGTCCTTGCAGGCTGCCCTCCTGTCACGGCGGGCCTGGCCGTGGGGGTGGGGGCGGGAGCTGCAGCCCTGGGGCCCCTGTCTGCCCCATGCAGGGGTGGGGCCCCAGGAGTCACAGACAGACATACAGACACATGCGCGGTCCCCACGGTGTGGGGGTTAGGCTCACACAGAGCTGGAGTCCGGGACCCCCACCCAGGACTCGGGGGCCCGGCCTCGTAAATCACAGGCTACCCCAGACCTAACCCGGTCCACCGCCAGGGAGTAGGCGGGTCCGCCACACAAGTGCGCACGCACCACCCACCAGTTCAGTCTTCCTGTCCAGGGGCCCAGGAGCAGCTTGGTAAGACTCAGTGCCAGTCCTGCCTCCTCTGGGCAGCCCTCCCGGATGGACCCTGCTGCTCTCGGCTATACTGTGCCCCCCCTGCCGCCCCGGCCCCGCTCACACACCTGTGTCTACTTCTGTTGTGGTTGTTTGAGGCCGAACAGCAGGTGGTTCTCACTGAGATGAGAGTCTGCTCACCCTCCCTGTCCACCAGCCTGCTGACGGCCCCTGCCCCAGGCCCACGTCCCCACTCATTCCCTCCCCATCCTGCAGGCCGGCTCTGCTCTCGGCCCCCCCGACAGCCTGCCCTGGCTCCGCATGCCCCCCAGGCTGAAGGCCAAGCTGCCGCACTGACGTTCAAAGTCCCTCTCTTGTGTCCCGAGTGCGCCTTGTCCAGACAGCCCTGTCCCTGGCCTGCACCTCGTGCTTGCCCCACGCGGCCAGCGCGTCCTCCTGGGCCCCTCGGCCCAGACCCTGGCTTCTCCCTCGCTGCTGGGCCTGGCCACCCCCCCTCGGAGGGGCTGTCCCGTTTGCCCAGTGGTCACCGCGTGGGGCTGGGGGCTTGTGGGGCTCTCCTCTACCCCCCTGAATCTGGTGTGCTCCCAGCCAAGCTCCATCCCTGGCAGAGACCTCCCACCTTCAGGCCTGGCTCCCACATGCCGCGTTCTGGAGAAAGCCCCCTCCCCTACCCCTGTGCCCTGGCCTGATGCAGCCTCCGAGAGCCCTCCACGCAGCCGGGCCTCTGGTGGCTGCCCCCAGCCCACAGCTTGAGGTTCCAGATCGCAGCAGGGCCAGCCAGGGCCATGTCCCGTGGAGAGCGGGGTGTCCTGAGAGAGGTGCAGAAGGGAAGGCCTACCTGGTGGCAGGTGAGCACCAGGGCAGTCCACACGAAGACCCCCGAGACGCCGCGGGCCAACGCGGTGGTGAGGAAGAGCCGGGAGGTGCCCTGGGAGCTGTTCCCCATGGGGTCCGTCGGTGGCCCGGCGGGCACGGAGGGCACGGTGGGCATGGCGGGCGGGGGGCCGGGCTGTGGCCAGGTTGCTGACACCAGGGGGCCGCAGGCTGTTCCCAGGAGCCCTGAGGCATTAGTCGTCTGCAGAGGTGAGGGAGGACACAGGGAGGAGTGAGGGCAAAGGTGCGCCAGGCAGCGCAGGCAGCCCCAGGGCGGGGGGGCGGGGCGGGGAGGGAGGGGCTCCTCCGGGCCGCCGGAAGGCCGGGGCTGCTTGGGCTTCTGTCCCCGTCCCCTCCGTGTGGTTCCAGGCTGACCGTCGGGCCCACTCCCCTGACTCCGGGGCAGCCCTGCTCCGAGCAGGAGCTCGGCTCCAAGGCCGGGGCTGGGGCGCCCCCCTTCCCCAGGGCTCAGCCACCTGGGCGCAGACTCGGCGAGCAGTCGATGACGTAGGGTGGTCCCCGCCTCTGCTGCCCGGACTCGTGGGAGCCCACGTGGAGGGGCCAGAGATGTGTTGGAAAATGAGGGAGCCCCCGCTGCCCTGCCCGCCTGGGGTGGAGTCAGAAGGCGAGCCTGGCGCTGCCCACAGCAGCTGATGGGGGTGCAGTCCAGCACCCACCGGCTCCCTGGGGCCTGCCCAACTGTCCGCGTGCCCGACTGTGCGGCAGGGCCCTTCAACCCCCCAGGCCCGCTCAGTAGCCCTGGAGGCTGGTTCTTCAGCTGCTGGCCAGCCAGCTGGGGCACCCGGGCCTCTCCCCCGGCCTCTAGCCCACAGTAGGTAGGGACCCAGCACCTACCTCTCAGGCAGGAAGCTCCGGCCCAGTCCTGAGAGGCCCGGCCCCCAGGGAAGCCTGGCTGGTCATTTGCGTGGCCACGTGGCTCCAGGGGCAGGCCCACTGGGGGTGGGGCAGGGCCGCTATCTGGAGGCCGCACCAGGCCTGGAGGGGCGGGGGGGGGCACTGCCTCAGCTCCCAGGTGGCCCACCTGAGCTGCCGCCTGCAGGGAGGGGCTGGGCGGAGGGGGAGGAGCGGACGCTCGTCCCCTCCTCTCCCACCCCGGCTGACATTCTACCTTTGCTCAGCGGCAGCAGGCTCCCAGGAACCTGCGGGCCGCCAGGTGCCCTCACCTGCCTGCGCCGGACGGACAGCCAGGTGGCTTCTCCTGGGCCCCAGGGAGGCAGGAGGGGCCTCGGGCGACTGGGCTGCTGTTTGCTAAAAACAGGTGAATTTATGTCGTGTGAGTGTCGCTGAGCCTGCAAGAGGTGCAGTGGAAACATTGCTGGGGTTGTGGGGTTGGGGGAGGAGGGCAGGCAGGTCACTAGGCTCAGCCCGATGCCAAGACCCCTTTGGGAAGAGGCTCGTCCGGCTCTGCCTCTGGGGCCGCTGGGGCGGGGGCACAAACGCGTGCATGCCACCGCCGTCGCAAGCAGCACAAAGGCTCTGCTCTGCGCCCCTGGTGGGATCACACGTTCACGTCCTCCGTGCCCACCTAGCGCTCCCTGCGGGCCTGGGCCATTCGAGGGCTGAACTGTGGGAACGAGGGATCCCTTTTTGCTCGGAGAGGTTCGTCCACACGTCCACGGTCCCCAGCAGTGAGGGAGGCAGCAGGCCTCTGGACACACGACCCCTCTCCCCACCCCTCCACACACCCCCGCCCCCCGGAGCCCCCACTGCTGCTCGGAGCCTTCCACACTGACTTCTCACCCAGTCGTCTCCTTGTCCTGCCGGCTCAGCTGTCACCGTTCAGTCCTGTCCCCCCTTTAAATCCCACCTGGGATTCCTGTCCACCTGTTGGCTTTGTGCTTGCTGCCTGCCCTCCCTCCACGGGAGCTTCCCGTGCCAGGCCCAGCCCATCTCCAGTGCCCGGGGAGTGGGCAGCCTCTGTGTGGCCGGCCCTCTGTGCTGGCCCCCACCTGCTCTGGCTGGGGTGGCAGGTGTGGTCTATACCTCATCCAGCCAGAGTAAGTCTCCCCTGTGTGCCCACATCCCGCCACCTGCCCTGGGTGCCAGGAGCGTGGGTCAGCATGTGCGGACCCCTGGTGACAATGGCTTGGGGAACCTGAAGGGCAAAGACTCAGCTTTGGGGACGTGGACGGGGCTGGCACGGGCCCAGGGAACCCACCCATGCCATAGGTGGGGGAAACGAAGCGTAGGTCCTTCCCAGGCTGATGCTGGGGGACCGAGCCTGCAGCAGGATGCACTCTGGTTAGATGTCAGAAGGACTTCCTAGCTGGAGTCAGCGGGGCCCTGGCTTTGGGGAGGCTTGAGGCCTGGACCCTGGGTCCAGACAGAGGAACTTCCGAAGCTCAGCTGTTTCCTCGGAGGTGGAAACACTGTGGGGGAGGGCAGTGCTTTCTGACAAGGCCGGATGAACACAGGGGGCAGGCCCGGGGGCCCTCCTCCCCCTGCAGCACTGCCTGCAGCAAGTGGGGGCCAGAGGTCCATGATCCTGGGAAGCCCCTTCCACCCAGGGCCGCCCCTGCTCTGATGGTGGAGGCCAGGCCCAGTGTCACTTCTGGGTTGTTCCTACAGCTGCCTTACCCTGAGGTTTTCTTGTTCAGCTGTTGCCTCCAGGAAGGCCTCCAGGCATCCCTGGCTCTGAAGCCTCCTCACTCCAGAACCTCTTGCACACTGCGGGACATGGCTTTGTTCAGGAAGCTCAGGGCCTTCCCATCGGCACCAGGCCACGTGTGCACTTTAGAATCCCGGGCCTCCGCAAAGTGGGGGCCTTCTGCCCTCCCCCACCTTTCTCTGGGTCCTGACCTATCTCTCTGGAGGCAGCCTCAGCCCTCAGTGCCTTGCTCTGCCCATGGCCTCGGGGGCCACCTCGGCAGACCCCTTCACCTCTCCGGGCCTCTGCTTTCTTATCTGTACAGATGAGGCTGGGTTCTCCTGCGCCGTGGGTACGGCAGGCAGGTCCCTGCCATCACTGGGGGGCTGGGACACCCCCCTTGCCTTGCTCTGAGCTCAGGGAAAGGCCTGAACCACGTGGCCCTCCCGGGGGGGCCGGCCGGGAGGTGGGGGCGGAGAGCCGCAGGAGTCCGGGTGGGGGAGGCACGGGAGACAGGGAGGGGAAGGAGAGGGGCCTGCACCACAGAGGGCTGGGGTCCAGCACCAGGGGCACCAAGCCCAGGAGAGCGGCCCCGCCCGCGGCAGCGGCTGTCATGGCCCACGCGCTCTCAGCAGAGGTGGCCGGGCCGGCCCGGCCTGATTTCCCTGCCCAGGGCTGGACGCTGACCAAGCCCAGCACAGGACAGACCTGCCTGCCCAGGTCCGGGCAGCTGGGGCCTCTGACCCCTGTGTATGGTGACCGGGTGACTAGGGTCCGGGCAGGTCCTGGCTGGGCTGTGGGTGGCTGAGACGCTGTGGCTGGTGTCAGACCTGTGCCCTCATCCCCACGCCTGCCCTTTACTACTAATGACCCAACGCCCATGGCTCCTTGGCCTTACTGCTGGCCCTGGACCTCCTTCCAGACCCGCCCTGCCAATGGGGGACATCTCTAGAGCCCTGTGGCTCCTTCCCTGCCGCCAGCCCTGTCCAGTGCCCCCTGGGCAGGCAGAGACAGGTCGGGGGAGGACACCACGCTCCCCCAGGCCCTCCCCACTGGGGTCCTTTGGCTCTCCTGGGGGTGCCCGCTCCTGGCGTCCAGGGAGTGGCAGGCAGGGTTTGCCTCTGAGCTTCTGTTCCGGCCCCCACGATGGCCCTTGACTCGAGCAATAGCCACTGTGGCCGAGGGCCTGGGGGTGACTGGACCAGAGCCACTGTCAGCCGAGGGTCCTGGGCGCTCGGGCCTTTAAACCACTCAGGTGGGAGCTGGGAGAAGTGGGGAGCGGCGGTGGGGCCACAAGCCTCTGCAGGCCGTGGAAGGAACCTACCATCCTGGGGGCCCCCAGCCACTGCTCCCTTCCTCCGGGCCCACGGGGGCGCCGCGGGTCCCTCCAGCTCTAGTTCTGGGATTCCCTGTGTGGTGGGTGAGCAGGGAGGCAGTGCCTCCTGGAGGCCAAGATGCCGGCTCGTCACCTGGGTCAGGGCACTGGGCCCCAGAGCCGCGGGAGCAGGGCCCCCGGTCGGACACGCCGGGCTGGGACCCTGACGCGGCCCTCCGTGTGTCTGTGACCTTCCTCAGTTTCCCCCGCGATTGGAGCCCCTGTGTGCAACAGGTCAGCACCCGTCTCCCTCCCTTAAAGGGGGGCCCTGGTCCCTGTGGCCCAAGGACAGCTCTGGCCGGCCAGCCGTCTCAGTTGGCCCACTGTCCTGCCAGCCAGGTCACCGTCCGGGGGCTTCTAGGCCGGTCAGCCCCGGGGGGCCCCAGCATTGGATCTCGGGGACTTCCCTTCCTCCTGGGGCTCTCTGTCCTTTCTGTGCTGCCCATTCCTGGCCCATGTCCCTCCCCTGGGCCACCTCCCTCCCCCAGGCCTGTTGCCTCAGTCCCCAGAGGGGCTGGGTGTCCCCGGGGCCTGCCTATAGCTGCCAGTCCTGGGTGTGTCCCCGGGGGCAGCCCTCCAGGCAGAGCTGGGGCACGGGTGCTGGCCTAAGACCCTTTTTGGTTATCAGGGGGCATCCCGGGGCCTGGCAGGGCCCTGTCCTCTTGAGTGGAGAGGGGGTGGTGCAGAGAGTCCGGGACTTTTGGAATTTCAGGGTGTGAGGTTTTTTCTCCTGGAGCCCCTGCCCCACTAGAGTGAACGAGACCCTAGCCTGGACCCCACAGCCCTCCCGTGGGTGTGCACACATGCACACACATGCCTGCCCACGCTCACCTCCCTGGTGGCTCCCTCAGCTGCCTGGTCGGGCCCCTCGGGCAACTCTGTTGCAGGGCTGCAGGACTGGGGGGTGGTGGCTGGGGGTCCAGCCCCACCGTGGGGCCTCCAGAGCTCTGTTGCTCCTCGCAGCAGCCTGGGTCGGTCCAAGATACTGTTGCTTCTGGGAAGCGCTGGCCCTTTCCTGGACCCAGAACACTCCTTGCCACCGCCCACCCTGCCAGGCCGGCCCTGCCAGCCGGGGTGCAGCCCAGACCACACCCTCTGCCGTGCCCTGCCCATACGCTGGGACCCGCCGTCCCTCCCATTGTCCACTGTCCGGCAGGGGGTACAAGCCGGCCGCAGAGTCTCTGACATCTGGGTGTGGCCTTGGGTGGCCGCATCTCTCCAGTCCGTGTGGTCGGGGGTCCAATGCCCCCCTCCTAGGGTGCAGTGAGTAGACGGGGGGACGCCTGCCGTCACCGAGGGATGGGCTCCTGGCTCCAAGTAGCCCACACGGGTGCTCCGAAGGGCCTCCTCCAGAGACGCGGAGCTGCTGAGAAGTCGGCCAGCCACCTGCTCCTACAGGAGAGATGGTCCCCACCATCTCCTCACAATATCGGAATCAGAGGGTCCTCACTTCCCACTGAGCCCGCCTTCACCCCCACCCCCCTGCGACGCTGTCTGTCTGCTTCAGGCCGGGGTGCAGACTGAAGCTGCGGGGGCAGAGCGCCTCCCTGCAGTTGGTCACAGCTCACTCAGGGCCCTCTGATTTCACGCATCCGTCGGGCGTCCTTCCAGTCACTCACCCGCATGCCCCTCTCCTGACCGCCAGTGTCACGCCAAGGCGCGAAGACGCCGGTGCTCAGCGGTCCTGCGTGCAGGTGTATTAGTCCACCGGTTCGTTGTCGTAGCGGGTTTGGGAGGATCAGGGGCTGCCAGGAGAAGCTGCTCGGAGTGATCGCTGAGAGCGGCCGCCCTCCCTGGCTTCTCTCGCTCGCTCTTGGCTCTGAGCCACGTCCCCACGTGCACCGAGGAAAAGGGAGGGCGTGCAAGGGAGCGGGTCTGGGGGGCCTCCGCGCTGGGCAGATCGCACGGTGGTGGGAAGGTGTGACCTTGACGGAGGAGCCCCTCCAGCAGGCCGGGCTGCAGGGGCTGCTGACGAGCGCCGTGTCCATTACTTCCATCGGCCTGCAGATCGCTGGAAGGCGTGACGACAGTTTGACTGCTGGGCACACACCATATGCAGCCTGTCCGTGCACAGGAATGACCATCCCCACAGCGCGGAGCACCGCCTGCAGGGAATGCGGCCTCCTGGATGGCTCCTCCTGAACTGTAGCGGCAGCGCCGAAGCACAGGCCTGGGCGCCTCCCCACCCCGTCCGTGCCTGGGTTTATAGGGCAGGGCAGCGCCCAGGCACGGAGGTGTGACAGGAGCTCATAGCATCCAACCGATTTCCACGAGCCAGCAGATGGCTCCCGGCGGCCGAAAGGGTGCCACGCGGAGAAGGTGCTGGGGGCCCCGCTCCCTGTTCCACGCCAGGCCCGCCACCCCCCGCCGGGCTGCCGAGGGCCCCGGGCAGGCACCACCCTGGGTCTCCGAGCCCCGTGTCTCCAGGGCCTCTTCTTCAGGGCGGCCTTGAGGGGTGGGTGCGCGGCTTCGTCGCGCAGTCAGGCCACCAGCGAGCGGCGGTGAGGGGCCTGCGCCTGGGTTCAAGTCCCAGCTCTGCCGAGCCGGGGCAGCTGGGTGATGCTGCCTCCATCCCCCTCCGGAACAGGCAGATGACGAGAGGAGTGACCTCCCGGGGTCTGAGGACACGGGCTGTCCCCCGAGCCTGGTCACAGTGATGGGCAGGTGTGCTGGTCCCAGGGAGACGCATTTGGAGACCACACCGGAACACCGAAAGCTGCGAATCTGATCCTAGCCTCAGACTGGGGCCCCGTCCACGCCTCTGCCTCTGGGGGCGGGTGCTTCTCCAGCAGCCGGTTCCTCCCCATCCGTCAGGACACCCCAGTCCTTGGGGATCCTCGTGTGTGCACACCCCTTCCCTTCTCTGGTCAGCTGCTGTGTCCTTAGAACTTGTGCTGGTCCCAGTCCTCCGAAAGGCCCACTAAGTGGGGCTCGGGGGGCTATAGGATGTAACCGGGTGAGTGCGGTGCGAAGGCAGGTCGGGTAGGAGTGGCCAGGCTGGCTACAGGTCTGCCCCAGAGGCCGGGAGGTGCGGCAGAGCTGGCCACAAAGGAGTTCTGTGTCTCTCAGGGACAGGCCGGCCTCAGTTTCCCCGGTCACCCAGGCTCCCTGCAGCAGCGTCAGCACCTCCTCTGGGAAGTCTGGCAGGATTCCCACGCGTGAGCCCCACGGTCGCCGTTGGCCAGTCTGTGTCCCGGGCGGGGCGGGGCTGATGGTGACCCCGCACGTTCTGCTAACGGAATGAGCCCTTGAAGTTTCCCTCTGTCCCATCTTCAGCAAACTCATGCTCACCTCTAAAGCGGACCGGTGGCTTGAACCAGTCCTTCCCATTGCCTGTTGGAGAGAAGTTTCTAAAGTCAAGAACTTCAGGGTCTTAGAATCCGTTGGTTCTGAGGGAAACGGAATAAAAACATCCCCTTCTGCTCTCACAAGGACATGGACGCCACCCAAGGTGCTTCTTTACGGAGATCTTGTTTAAGATTTTATTTTTAAGTCATCTCGACGCCCACCCTGGGGCCGGAACACACAGCCCCGACATCAAGAGTCGCACGCTCCACCGACTGAGCCAGCCGGGCCTCCCCTCTTTACACAGGGACCCCAGCTTCCAGACCCCAGGCCCTCATCCCCTCTAGTCTCCGATCCTGTGGGGAGGACTCAAACGGCACATTGGACCCCCGCTTCTGGTGTGGACAGTGACGCGCCACCACGGCTAGTGGGAGACGAGGACCAGCCCAGAGGGTCCGAGCTGCTGTCCACCAGAGGCCCGGGCGGTCACAGGCCACAACGCCATCCTGAAGCCAACGCCTCACCGTAACTGCCGCGCAGCAGGACGGTAAGAGAGGTTCGCGGAATGGAAGGCAACGGCTGTCCGGCAAGCCAAACCCGCTCAGAGAAGTCAGAGGAAGGAGCAAGGGCAGTGTGCGCAGCGTGTGTGAACCTTGCCAAACGTTTCCTCCCACTTACGGTGCGCTGAACCGAACCTACACCGCGTGATGTTAGTTTCTCAGTACTGCCAGGAAGGACGGTGAGGTATTTGGGGATAGGCATTTATTGTGAATAAAAAAAATTTCCTTCAACAACAGATACTGCACGTGGGGGGCCAGGACTCATGCCTGATGACTCATCTTTCAAGTCTCAAATATATGCAGCTATTTGGGCCCTGGTAAGAACGGTTCATAGCCCCCCAGACACACTCCACAGCTTTCCTCCACCTGCGGATAAGAGCGCCCAAAGTACAGTCTGCCTGGGATGTGCATATTTCTTCTGGCTTCTAGAACTAAAGGCAGAGTTCTTCCTTCTGCCTGACCGAGGGTGTCGCGTGTCCCCTCAGCCCGCTGAGTAGCAGGCGTGTCTGCTGCTCCAGGGTCACCACACCTGGCAGGACTGGATCACCTCCTTCAAGGCCTTCAGCCCCTCCACGCTCCTGTCCTTCACGGCCATGGCCAGGAGGACCGCTCTGTTTCCAGCTTCCTGAGACACAAACGTCACCAGGTTCTTTGCTAAGACATGGATGAGAGGCTGGTAAAGGGAAGGAGAGAAACGATTTTAATTGTGACATATCTGTTTTCCCTTAGCGCCTTCGCGGTGTCCCCTAGGAACCCGACTGCCTTCCTACACCCCCAATAAATCACACCCCAACCCGTAAGTTCAACGTAACAGTTGTTCAGTGTTCAACCAGACTCCAGAACACTCCAGTCCTAAACAAAACGCTGAAGAGGCACCATTATACGCATTTTCTTGGTGCTTTCCGATTCCTTGGTCTCTTCTGGCTGGCCGTCATCTAGAAGGAATCGTGAAAGGTATTCTTTACGGCTGGGGTGGAGTCTGTCAAATCTCACAGGTGATCTTGTCAGAGCTCGTTACCCCAAGGTAGCATGAGAGGGTCAAACCTTACAAGATCAATACCCCGCCTGTCCGCCAGATACAACACTGATGGGCTGGGAAAAGCATGCACCAAGGGCAGGCAGGTGCTCTCACAGCTGCATAGGCTTCAGGAAATGCTGTGGCTGTCCGTGGGCTCCATGGCCCTCCCACCGGACCCTCCGGCCACTACTCACAAACTGCAGTCACACGAGCGGGTTTTCCTCCACCACGGGGACCCCTTCCCAGCCACTTTACCTCGTCCTGCCCAAGAAGGACTTTCGTGGTGAGCACGGGCTTGCTGATGTCACTGGCCACGGGGCTGGGCTCCAGGGAGACCAGGGTACCCATCTTCCCGAACTGGGTCACCACCACCAGGATGTGACTGCTGAAGGCTGTGCAGACCACCTGCGTGGGGACCCCACATACCACTTCCGTCTTCTGTTTGGACACCAGCAAGGGTTTGCCTTCCATGGATGGGTCTCTTCGGTGGCACTTTAATGTTTAACAAGGAAAGAGAAAACACAAGAGTAATTCAATCAGACCGTGTCGGATGTGCCTCGTGGCTCCAGCGTTAGTACCACCTGGTATTAACACAAACACAAGCAAGCCCATCCGAGCGAGCGGCCGTGCACCCACACGGGCTTCACCTGGAACCCTCTGGAGCCGCTCCCAGGCGCGCGTGTGCAGACGTGCGGGCTGCGCCTACAAGGCGGGCCGTCAGGGCACACGCTGGTCTGTATCCCCGGAGGCTCCCGCCCTTCCGCGGCCAGAGGCCGGCGGGAGCGAGCGCCGCAGGTGCACAAGCCCGGGCTCCAGCAGGTGGCCGCGCTCCCGCCGCCCGCTGAGCTTCCCCTTCCGTTTGGGGAAACCACCGCCCCCATAGGACAGGGCAGCACCCCCCCCGCGCGGGGGAAGGGCAGAGAGCGACGGGAGGCCGGGAGGCCGGGGGCCCCGCGGGGACGCGCGCCCGTCTACCCATCCCGCCAGCCACGCCGCCCGCGCTTACCGCGCCGCGCCCGGAAGTGACGCCCTTGGGCGACGCGGGCCCGCCCCCGCACAGGGGGGCCCCGCCTACCCGCGCTGCGGCCCCTCCTACGGAAGTGCGCCTGCGGGCTTCCGGTCCCGGCAGGGTCTCCGGCGCCCTGAGGAGTGGGGTTCCGCGCTCCGGAGAGGGGCTGCGTGTTCGGGATGAGGGGCTGCAGCCCACAACCCGCGGGCCTCGGCCTCCCGGCCTCTGGCCGCTCCCCCGGGGTGTCCTCGGTAGTCGGGGGAACGCCTGGCTGTGGGTTCCCTTCCCGCATGGCGGCCCGGGGGCTGTCGGAGCGGAGCCGGCGCCGTGCAGAGGTCGCCCCACGCAGAGCGGGCCGTGAGGGCCGCCGCCGCGGACACAGGGACCTGGGTGTGGCCGGCAGGTGTCCCAGCCCGGAGCCCGGGCGCGGGGCGTCCTGCTGACCCAGGCGGGCGGGACGGCGCGGAGGCCCCACGGCGAGGCCAGGGCTGAGGGCCCCGGGGCGGGGGCGGTCCGTGGGGGGCGAGCCCTCCGCCCCACTCTCCCGGGGCCCCCAGTCCTCCTGGGGTGGTCTGCAGGGCCGGAGGGCGTTCCGTGGGGTCGAGCCCTCCATCCCACGCTGCCGGGTCCCCCCCCTGGGATCGATCTGCAGGGGTGGGGGCGGTCTGCGGGGACGAGCCCTCCGTCCCACTCTCCGGGGCGGGGGCATTTTGCAGGGGGCGAGCCCTCCGCCCCATTTTCACGCGGGCCCCAGCCCTCGGGGGTCCATCTGGGCCACCCTTCCAGCGCACATCCGTCAGATTCCTCAGGCCGTGGTGGGTGCCAGGCATTGGGCGAAGTGCTCCGTGAGCAGTAGTTCCTGCAGTCTTGACCCCGTTCTGTAGACTGGCTGTTCAGGTTCAGAGAGCTTGCCCCGGGTCGTAGAGCTGGTAAGGGCTGGATCCGGGCTTTAGACGCTCGCCCTGCTTGCCCTTGATGACTGGTGTGAGGGCTCTGGTACGGGGGAGGAGGAGGGACCAGCGTGGCCCCTGTGGCAGAACGATTTCTGGTCCCCTCCCGCCGTCTCTGACAGCCCCCCAAGGCTCATCCTCTCTTTCTCCAAGCTGGAAGTGTTATTGGCGGGGTCGGGGAGCCTTGCTGCCCTAGCTTGAGCCTGCAGATTCCTCCTTAGGGGAGTAACAGCCCTGCAGAATCCCGCCCTCAGAGGCTTGCTGTTCGGATTCCTGACAGTCCCTGCGGGGGCGCATTTCCCCTCCACCTGGTCTGCCCACCGCACTGAGCCCCTTAGGAAGCCTTGGCATCCCTAATCTTTGCTCCCTTTTCTCGTGATTTAATGACTCCTTAGACAATCCGTGTCAAGTCCAATGAAGCATGCGCCTTCCAAAACGATTTCTGGTGGCTTAAAATAAAAGGCATGTATACAAAACATTATCAAAATAGAAATCGAAATCAAAAGGAAACCTGTTTTTGAGCTTTCTTGCAGCCGGTTCACAGAGGGAAAGATTATGACTTTCAAGGTTCCAATACTCTAAAAGGATGAAGGGTATCAATTTCTCCTGAGAGTGTTTTTGTTGGGGCTAAATTTAAACCCACATCCACCCACACACACACCAAAAGCAAATTGCCAATTCTCTTGCTTTGCCGTGGGAAACCTTACAAAGGTGCATTCACTGCTGTTCACCTATTCATGCATTCTCTGTGTGTACAAATAGACACAAGTTTGACACCCTCCCCTCCAAAAAATACCCAACTCTGAAATAAAGTTCTCACCTTTATGAAAGACGTGCAAGAGCAGGGTGGCTGATAAGTTTCAAAGACACTCAAGCGAATATGTCAGTGCTTGTCCGTTGGCTGTTTTTTGGTCGAGATCTTGGGTAGAGGCTGTATATGAAGGAAAGGAGGTGGGAAGTCTAGGAGGGGCTTTCCTGGAGGCCCAAGTGGGCGTGTGGGCAGAACGTTGGCACTTAGAAGAATGCGGGTCCAGCTCATTGCCTGCCCTGGGCTATTCTCCAGTGGGAGGCGAATTCCCTTAAGTGAATCCACTTAAAATGGGAACTGAGTAGTGGAAGTGTCACTGGTGGGGCAGAAGAGTGAGAATTTATCTTAAAAAAATGGGGACAAAACAAAATGTCTTGAATTTGTTTTTCAAGGAATTCTAAGTTATGAATGCCATTATACATTAATTTGTAGAACCAACGAATCCAGGGTTGATTTGGCAGGGTCATAATTTTTCCAACAAGTCGTCCGACAGCGATTTTCCCAGCTGCGTAAGGAGGAGGGTGGTCGGAGGGCACCATCCGCTTCCCCAAGCGCCTCTCATGATCTGTTGATATGCACGTTTGACCTTGGAGTCTGTCCTTGGAGTCTGTCCTCTCGCCAGCCGGCCCCGTCTGGCACCGCCAGGCCCTCCACGCTCGCCGCCACATTCCCCAGTATTAACCTTTACGGGCTTTCCGAAATCTTGCATCTCTCATGATGCACGGCAGCACCCCAGCCTCACAGCATGCCTACCAGGACTTGCAACGTCGTGCCTGTGCGTGAGAGAGAGTGGGGGACACAGAGGGGCATTTAAGGGGAGCCCAGTTTTGTAAACGGTCGATTCAGTAGGGAAACTTTGTGTGTTAGGATGTCCCTACTTCCCTCTGCGAGCTCATGCCTTGCCAGATCCAGCGGGCACACAGGGGCCTAAGATGTCAACCCTGGAAGGCTCTAGAATCTGCCTCCTTGGCCCTTACTAACTGTGCTTTGGGGCAACCTTCCCTGTCGGCCTCAGCTTCTCAGCTCAGAAATGGAGAGAACACGGGTGCCGGTCTCACAGGAGGGAGTGAGGTGGGCCACAGACCGTGATTTCCCGGACCTTTATGAAGTTAGCTATTACTTCCTGTGTTTTCATACCTACTTATATATTTATACATTACTTATTACCGTTATTATTAAACACGTGTCCTCTCCTCCGCAGGTGAGTAACATCCTGCTGCCGTATGCCGGGTGAGGAATGATTTGAAAGCACATCAGTCTTTGGGCTTAGAGGCCCTTGACCTGCAGGAGGCTCTCCCAGCTGCCACCCTCCAGGGTCTGCCCGAGGGAGGGGCTCATAGACACAGTGTCCCCTCCAGATCTCGGTGAGATGGTGTAATAGGTGGAGCTGTGTTACTTGTAGAAATGATAGCCCCTCTCACATGTCCCCACCGGTCTCCTAAGAGGACCGGGGAATGCAGAGCTGGAGATCACGTTTGTGATGCAGGCCTGAGACACGGCATCAGATAAGCAGATTTTACCCCGTTTAGGCAGTAGATACTTAGGACCGAGCGACGGGAGGTGTATCCATTAGGGTTCTTCCAGGCAGAGGTGACAGACACCGTGTGAAACTGTCCTTTGCTGCAAAGGAGAACAGACAGACTCACCGGACAGCTGAGAAGTCCTGGACACTCTGACGATTCACCCCTCCGTTTCTCAACTCCGAGATTGCTGTCCTGCGTTCTGGCAGCATCACCAGCCGCTGCCCCCAGTCACTGTCTTTCCCAGGATTCCCCGGGAACGTCCAGGCCAGTCTCCCTAGACCAGCCTGGGTCACGTGCCTGTCCTTGAACCAATCACTCCGTGAAAACGAGTTCATGTGCAAGCAGCTCCCCCTGCATTTGAGAGTTAGCAAGTCCTTGTCAGTGATTACGTCAACGAAGAAATCAGAACGGACGTGACGAAATATTTAGAGCGCCCCACCCTCCCCGCCCCCGGCCCCTGGAAACCGCGCACCCACTTTGTGTTTCTGCAGATTTGCCCATGTGGACAACGCCCACAAGGGGACTCCTGCACCATGTAGCCTTCCGTGGCCGGCCCCTTCCGCTCAGCACCGTGTGGACAAGGTTCATGTGCACACCTCAGGGGTGCGTTCCTTCCGACAGACCAGCTCTTGGGAGGATTAAATGAGGTCACATGGCGAAAGGGCCTGGTGGAGGGCCGGACACACCCGGTGTGCAACAGGGCTGCCTGCCTTTCACGGGTCAGCGGGATCCACTCATGGAACCTCACACAGGGGACCTTGTGGGACCAGCAGCCCTGAACTCTCTTCACTGCTGGCGTTTGGGGGCAGCTGATGCCGAGGAGTGGCCGTGTTAACCCATCTGCCCGGTCCCCTAATGCCCCCGAGACGGGTCTGGGGATATCTGAGCACAGGCCTTGATGCGGCCAAGGCCAAGGGGTCCTCCTGCCCCAGGCCCGTCCCTGGGGAAATGCTGTGGTGGTTCGGAAGCTGCTGGTGCCCTGTTAGGACAGAAGCAGGTGCGAGAAGCCTCGGGGGCACGGCCAGCTCCGCGGCGGTCTGCGGATCTTTCTCTGAGCGGTCCCCCTGCCGCCGCCACCACCGAGGCTGGGGACGCTCTGCCCTGGGGGCCCCCGCGTTTACCGCCAGCCCACACCTGCCCTTTCTGTGCCCCAGCTGGGAGTGACCCTGCGCACAGCGGTCACAGACACCCTTGAACAAATAGTGGCGCGGAATTAGAAGCAGTTCTAATTAGAGTTCTCCACAAGACAGAGATTACCTTTAGCAGCACCCGGTTATCTGGAAAAACAATGAATTAATTTTTTTCCAATCCAGGATTATCCAAGTGGAGGGAGGGGGGCAGGATATAAGAAACATAAGCTGC